GAGGCCCATTGTTCTATTTAGGGGCAGCCCTTCCTCCCCCCACTAGGGGTTTATGAAGTCAAGAAGAACTCTGAGGTCACAATGACAGAACAGTGGACGGAGAATAAACAAACAGGTGCCCCCAGTATGGCCTTGAACTGAGCAAGTCAGGGCCCAGACAGAAGTAGATCTCTTAGGGGGATGCTGAGACTGCCACAGAGATGTGACGGAGGGAAGAAGAGCTTCTTTGCTCAATGTCTTCCTGCCTATGGGATCCTATAACCTAAATGTTCTAGGAGCCTGAAGCTAATGAACAGGTGGCATGGAGCCAGCGTACTGGTTTCAGAAACTGAAAGCTGTCTGGCTAAAGCACTGAACTGGACTCAACTCAAAGAAATTGAAAGCTCTAAGTCATTGAGGAGCCACAGTAGAAATGAGAACATTGACCCTTGAGCAAAGACAATGTCTCATCAATATTCCCTACCTACCAGGGTCTAGCCAAGTGGGCATGGGTCCTTACTGGTCCATCCAGTCTCAGCCCAGGAAGGTGCCACAATCCTCAGAGAATCTAAGCTGCCTGTCTGAGGCACATCTTAGTGGCCCTCGGACCAACTACAGTCCATACCAGATGTTTCACCTTTCACCAACAGCATCACAGCCACCCCATCTAAGCTCCCTGATCAGCACTGTTTCCTGTGCCTATCTCTGGAGGTGCCAAGAAGAGGTGGCTGCAGGTCCACACTTAGGAGCAGAAAGAAGTAGGGCTTCCCACTCACTAGCCCTAGTCACTGAGGACTCATATCCAATACCGGAGACTCCTAAAATGCATCAGCAACCAGTTGAGGAAGCCGGCTCCAGGAGGCTGGTACCGGTTCTCCTCATATCCTGCCCCTTCACATTTTCTCCACCAGATGGCCAGGCAAGAGACCAACTGCTTGTTTGCTTTCCAAAGCGGCGATTGCTCACCCCAACCTCTCTAGTCTTGCACAGTCCCAGGCTTGCCTGGCCAAGCACCTTTTAAACAACTCTAACCAGGCTGCTCCATCTCACCAGCATAATCCAAAAATCAGTATCGGAGCAGGATAAGGAGGCCAATTCATCTAAACCTCTGGGAGTCTCTGGGGACCCTAAGTAAGGCACTGCCTTCTATCTCCCCACTAGCAACCCTCCATCTGAAAAGTCTGGGCCACCCAGAAACCCTTGGAGATAAACACTACATAAAATCAGTAGATTTGTTGTTTTCACAATCATCTGAATGTTTCTGTTTTTGTTTTTTCCCAATTATCTTATGGCGGGTGCTCAATCTATGGCCTGAAAGCAGTATCTCAAGTCTCACTAATTGACCCAAAAGACATCCTACTAGCCAGGGCACATATCTTCCCACCAGGCAAGTGTGGTCCTGCCCATCCTCACCAGGCAGACAAAGACCTATCTGAAGGATGTGATGATGTGGTCTAATGTACACCAGGCCAAAGCTTTCTTTCTGGGACCTAGAAAATTCTTATGACCACATGTCTATTTGAGTGGAAAGTCACAGCTTCAGAGTCCAATGCCAACCTAATCCATGGCCCTACCACTTCACTGTTTGCCTTTGGGCAAGTTATTAAACCACTCTGAACTTCAGCACCTCTTGAAACAAGGGAACAATCTCTTCCAGGTTCTGTAAGAATTAAGTATGTCTGCCCTATAAAGTCAAAAGCCTAGCACAGGTTTGGGCCACAAGAAGACAGCCTTTCATCAACCCTGAGGAGGTTCCGGGTAACACTCAGGGTTATGATGAACGCCTTAATTTATAATCCTTTCCAAGAGACCCAACAGGAAGTTTTGGCAGAAACCTGAACTCAATCCCAGTGCTGCCACTTACTGGCCCTGTGGCCTTATTTACACAAAGTCACTTTAGACCTTGGTTGCCATGCCTAGAAAATGAACAGACCACCTCCCAGACTGGCAAAGAAGGCCAAGCGTGATGGTCACCGAGTACCACGTACAGGGTAGTAATGGAGATCACCTCCCTTGCAACTCATCCTGGCCAGGTGAAATATGGGAAATACCAGGTGTCCCACGTCATCATCCCAGCCAGGGCTTTGGGGGCCCATTTCTCCTAAATTCCCTCTGATTGCCTGAGACCTCAGCAGAGAAGCTTTTTAAAACTTAAGGGCCACAATTATGCTTTGGAAGGCTCTGCACAATGAAGAAAAAGGCAATGTGACCAACGAAACCAAGCTAAGGATGCCAGCTTTCTTCTGAGCACAGGCCTAGCTGGCTTCTCATTTTCTGTTCCTGGCTGGAGAACCGGGCTGACAAGAAGAACAGCCAGCCAGGTCAGCGGCTGCCCTCCCGGATTCCTGCCACCCCAACGACCCATGGTTATTTTTGGCTGACAGTGTCCCACCACTGCAACCTCAAACCTGCCACTTCGCAAGCTGCGGCTGCCACCGGGCAAAACGCTCCTCCTTTTCAAGGGCACGGAGGAGGGAAGCTGGAAGGCCGCCAACTCCGCCTTGACGGGGGCCAGACTCAAGCAATTCCCACCCAAGCATCAGGGCACCCGCACCCGGAACTAAAGCATAGAGGCTCCCGGCCGGACCGAGGAGCAGCCTGGACATTGGTACTCCCGGCTTAGTCTGGCCCACTCTCCGGGATGGAGCGGTTCCATCATAACAAAACACCGAGGGGGCCGGAGGCCCGCACTCGTGTCCCTTCCTTCCGCCCGGATCCCGGGGACCTCCGAGCCCCGCTCCCCGTAACCGCCAAGGGAAGACCCGGCGACCAGAGGGAAGGCCAGCCTGGGCCAGAATCAAACTCCAGGCGGCGCGCGGCGGAGGTCTGCGGGCTAAGCCTCGAGCCCGGGGCAGGCAAAGCTTTTCCAGGTTAGCCTAGGTCGGACGCGACCCCGGCCGGCCGGCCGGCGCGGGGCCCCAAGGTGGAACCTCCCAGCCGCCCCGGAGGCCGCTAGGGCTCCGCCTCCAACACCGCGGGATCCAGAAAAGGGGTCTACAGTGACCGCCCTCCGGGAGAGAAGCGGCGGGTCAGGGGTGAGAGGTCGGGACCGCGGCCTGACGTGGGCCAAGGAGAGAAAAAGGCAAACGCCGAGACCCGACCGCGAGCTGAGGTACGCGGACCGGCTTGCCCGCCCCTACCGACTCACCCAAGCCGCCCGGCCGCGGGCTCGGGCCCACACTCACCGTCTCCCAGGCTCCGGCTGCGGCTAGGCCCCACTCCCCACTCCGAGCGCCTCTTCCGCTTCCGGCTCCGGCCTCCGCCCGTGGCAGCACCGCCCCTTCGCGTGACGCAGCCGTCGGCGGCCGGGACTCGACCCGGCCCAGAGGCCTGGCCGCTCTAGCCCCCAACTCGCAGGCTCTGGGGGACCTGCCTGCCCCTCTGGGGTCGGGACCGCAGCGGTGGAGGTCTCTTCCGGGGGGTCCCGGGAGCAGCCTCGGGCCGCGGCCCAGCCCTCGCCGTGCTGTAGTGCACGTAGGCCCCCGTGGCCGCATCGGTGCGCGGCCGCGAGTGCGGCCGGAGGCCGGCTCTGGACCGAAAGGAGGAACCCACCGCACCGCCAGGCTGGGTCCACTCCGCCGCGGCGGCCCGGCCGTGCCCGCTAGCCTCTTCCTGCGCGCGGAGAGGACCGGCATTGTTCGCCCGGGGCCCGGGAGGGCGCTAGAGACGAAAGCGGTCGGTGCGCCCGGTCAGAGGAAGGCGGGCGCGACTCCGCTTGCGCGCGAGAAGCAAACGACACATTCTGCTCTCGGCTTGTGCGGGTTTTTTGAAAGTCTTGGCGCCACGCCCCAGCCCGCTCGAGCTTGCCGTGCAGTCTCCGGGAAGATCCCCGCGATCCTCGGCGGCGGGGTCTGACGGAGAGGACGTCCTCTTCCCTTGAACGCCTCAGAGCGTCTCGCTGCCAATCAGCACGGTGGCTGGGCTAGGAAACCCGCGCCACACAAAAGCCCCGCGCCGGGCCGCGCTCCAGCTCTGCCGCTCGAGTCACTCGGCCAGCCTTTTTTTTTGCTGCTGCGGCCTCGGGCGTGAGGCCACCCAGATCAGACCCCTCCCACCCTACTGCCCCACGCTTGGTCGTGGCAGGATCATGAGGTCCTATTTCCCCAGAAAACAGGTCGCGCGGTCCTTTAGGAAGGCCTCGCTTTGACGGCGTCCCCGCCCCCGCGCGTCGCGCAGCCAAGCGGGCGGGTGCGGCACCTAATTGCCCCACGCCACGCGAGGCCCGTGAGGCTGGAGCAGCCGGCCAGGGTGGGGCGTCCCTTCCCTTCAGGATCTCGCTGACTCAGCCAGGACGGCCAGGGTTTCCCGTGTGCCCTGCTCCCCCGTGCAGGATGAAATGCGCGCCCACCAGGTCCTGTCGCCACCCACCACCACCCCCAGCCTCCCTCCCGTGCTGAAACTGTCTCTAGAGACCTTAGCCTCTGGCTCTGACGTAGGGGCCCGACATCTTCATCACCACCCAAGTAAACAGAGGCTGAGTAAAAAAGCTGGGTGATTATGTTTGCTAACGAAGCCTCAAACTGGCCCCATAGTCATCTTCCAACCACGCAGACATCCAACAGCTGCCCTGATCCCGCCCCAGGAGCCAAGGATACTGAAAAATCCTGCTGTCCGAAGATGCAGCTCCCACCTGAGGCTCGGGGCCACTGACAGAATTTCATACCTTAACAGGTTTCTGTGGTGTCATCACCTCCCAATATCTGCCCGCCCACGTTTCCACGGCTATGGGAAACCAGTATCCCCCAGTTTAATGGCGAACATCCTTAAAAAGCTTCTGTCTCCTGCCCTACCCCGGGGCGTCAGGAATGGGGTAACTTAGGCAGTCTTCCTGTCTGCCCTCCTAACAGGGAAAATCCAGACGTCTGCCCGAAGCTCCCCACCCCGACCCCAGCAAGTACCTTCGCTGACTTAGACTGGAACTGTCTCCTAGCCGGGTCCTCTCCAGGGGCTGCAGTTTGGCCTTCCTCCTTGAGGGTCTCCTGTTAGAGCTTTGTTTTCTTGTCTCTCTTCAAAGAACTCACACCTGTCAGAAGGAAAGAATTGGTCCTGAAGTAAAGTTGGGTGGACTCACTCCTCCCCAATAAATACACACCACTCTGCAGAGAGGGAACTCAGACCAGACCACCCCCAGAAGAGGCCTGCTGCTCCCCGCTGCCCCTAGGCACCACACTTCCCAGCCTCTGCCCTTTGTCCATAAGCCTTTTCCGTGTGACTGGTCTGCGGCATGACTCCAGGGCACCAAGGAGATGCCCTTGTACTTTTACTCAACCCCGACGGCACCTTTTTTCAACCTCCTAGGTTCTTGGGCCTGGTGCTCCCTCATCTAGCTGCCCTTGCATTCTCCTCTGCCACATCCAGCTTTGTCTTGCCTGGAATGAATTGATGCACATTTGAGCCTCAGCCACAAGGTCACTGTGGAGGTCTAGTGTTGGGCTTCAGCTCTGACCTGTCAAAGGGTCCCTTGAAAGGGGGATTGAGGAGCTGGGAAATGCAAAGTAGGAAATATAGAAGTAGACTAATTAAAAAGAGACAGGATAGCTTTGGGAGGGCCCAGCAGCCTCGAGTTTATTTCTAATGGGCTTTTTATACACCAGCAAGGGGAGAGGTAAAAGACTTCCCTCTCTCAAGATCAAAGCACAATGTACAACCAAGTGTAGACCCTTCAAAACACCTGGTAACCACGCCCCACGGCAAAGCATCTTGTGATTAGGCCTTGAAGTAGAAGACACCTGGTGACCATGCCTTTGCACCCAACCATGCAGCCTTGGAGAACAACATAAACTCTGCCTCTCTGACCTCGAGTCAAACCACAAGTTGGAATCTTGGTGGGCTCCCACAGGTCACCTCCCTGGAAGGCATCCTAAGAGAGGTCAGATTCCCCTTCTCTGTGCTGTGATCCCACCCTCCCTTGGTTCCTCACACCCAGCAGTTTGGCTTGTTCAACACAGCCCTGCTTCTCAGGAGGACAATGGGCAGCCTAACTGGAAGCCTCCCTTCTACCAGGCCCAGTTAGAGTGGAGCTGTGGGTGCTGTGCCAGGGCACGGGACCCGTCCTCATGGTCTGTCTTAGAGTGGCCTTGGGTGGTGCTGATGTAGGAGGACAAACGAGAAGGGCTTTGGGAATGGGCCTGGAGTGGAGGGAGGCAATCTGCTGGGAGGGGGAGGGGCCTGCTGGCAGGCGGTGCCAACCCAAGAGGGACAGTTCTAGGAATGTGAGGTGTAGCAGAGCTGTGAAAGGTGGGGGAGGAGAGGGGCCTGGGCACCATCTGCTCAAATGGAAATATCCTCTCGGCCTTTTCTAAAGCTGGGGCGGCAGACCTGGAGCCTGGGAATGGGAGGGCCACAGAGTCCTCTGACATCCTGTGAGTGGAGGAAATGCCAGGAGGACTTGGTCCACCACCTTGGAGGTGAAGAAGCCAGTGGTGAGAAAAGGTGGTGCCAGCTGAACTAGCCCGTGAGTCCCCTCACCAAAGTGGAGGGCATGGAGGGCAAGAGCTGAAGCCAGAGAGGAGATGAAGACTTCTGGCTCCCTCCCCACGTCATAAAGTAGTAACTTGCAAATGTCCACCTGAGCCCTACAGTTTCCAGATTCGGTACTTGGAGGAAGATCACGGGGCAGTGGCAGAGTTGGGGAAAGCAGGCTCTTGATCCAGACAGCACTGAGTGCACATTCCAGGCTTTCTGGGAGTGCCAGCATGACCTGAGACATCCAGCACCCTGTTTTCACCTTCAGTTCCCCTCCCAAACTGGCTCTTGTAAGGATCAAACAGGGTCTTGTTGGTTAAGGAAGGCTACCCAAAGTCAGCACCCATAGCTCAGGGAAGCCTAGAACGAAGAACTGGACGAGTTGAGGCTGATGTTTATGTGAAGTGTCAATCAAATCATCGAGGGAGCCTGGACCAGGGGTGAGGCATGGGATGGACCCTCGTTCTGCATCTCAGCCCAGTCCTTAGGTGCCAGGACTGCTCCATATCCCAAAACTGTAGGGCTTATTGCATAGTGTCTGTGGACCACATACCCAGCCCTGCCAGCTGCCTCTGGGAACCCTGCCACCTGTGGCCACTGTTCTGTGTCCACCCACTGAGCCCCACTGAAGGGCTCAGGTAAGCACCAGCCTCTTGGGATCCAGGGCACAGCATGGCTCCTCTCATCCTGGCAGGTGCTCAGACAGAGTCCCAGAGTGGGACAGGAGGCTATCAAAGGAGCTTTGGGTAGGACTGGCAGAGAACAGGCAGCAGTAGACCAGGCTGGCCAGCCACCTGTGAGCGGTGCCAGGGGCCCTGTTGGAGCAAGCCCAACTCCTGCAGAAGTGTGAGCACAAGCTGGGCTTAAGCCAGGCCTGCTGTGAGCCAATGCTCAAACAGAAAATGAGTCTCCCATCTTCTCCCCCAGGTCCTCTGCCCACCTGCAGCCCCAAGGAAGTCTAGATTCATCTGTACCAGGATGAAAGCTCCAGTGTGCTGAGTGTGCTTCTGCCTCCACCTGGATTCATGTTCTAAGAGTCAGGGAGTCTGAAGACGGGGGAATGGAAGAGCCAGCAGGGAGGCCCTGTTGAACAGCCCTCTCTCATGGCTGTTCCTGGAGCTGTGCTTGTACTTAGGAGGCATATGCTGGGTGAGACTAGGGGCCCTCACTGACTGGAGACAGAAAGGCTCGGATTTCTGTGCTCAGCACACACAAGAGCTTCCTTATATAATCAGATAAAGTGGCCATCACCATGACCCGAGATGGGGAGGTGACTTTGTAGGCTGAAGCTTCCTGATAAGGTTGCACCATCTCTGCTCTATGCAAGGGTACAAGTAGAGCCACTTAGATTCCCAAGATGCCCGAGTTTTTAATGACTAAGTGTCTCAGCCTAGTGATGGCCTTCCTGGGTCTACTGCTCTCTCCCTGGGCTGGGTGACCCTCAGGACCCAGGTGACGACCCATTTCCTTAGCCGCCCTGCTCTCTAGCATTCCACAACAGAGTCCCAGTCCTCTTACTGCTGTCTGGAGCTCTGGAGCCATCTTCAGCTACAAGGGAGAGGTGCTGTGCGTGTCGGATCGGCTGGGGGTGGAGAGCGCCAGTCTGAAGCCCTGCAGGAATAGATAACAGCTGAGCAGCCCAGCTTTCTCCCCACCCTGAGCGATGAGCCACGCTCCCTTGTGTACAGCCATCAGCTGGGCCCCTGGGTGGGAATGGGCTTTATCAGAGGCTGCAGCCTCTGTCCTGCCTGGTGGGGTCGGGAGGATGAGCCAGCACTGCCAGCTGCCCTACAGGTCTGCTGCCCTCAGCATTCTTCCCTGATGGAATGAATGCTTTCTGGCCCACCAGGAGCAGGAGAGGCACCTGCTGCTGCAGGGACCCCAGGGACAACAGGAGCAGAAGAGACGGAGGCCAGAAAAACAAGGGAGGGTGGGGAAGAGATGGAGGCGGAGGTAGAGGACAGGCCGACAGCCCCTTTGTCTTTCTGCTGCAGACAGTGGTGTGAAAGACACAGCAGCCTTTGGACCAGATGTGTGGACAGCCCCCTGGCCCGGAATCTAGCCTAGAGACCTAGGGTATGGATGACACCAGAGCCCCTCCCAAGTGGATGTATGGCAAAGCTCTGCCCTCAGCTCGGTTACAGTTTCAACTCTGCCCTGTACTTTATTCTCTGGTCTTCCATCTTGAAGCAGGACTCAAGGAAGGAGTGCCATCAGTAGGCTTTTACCCAAGCAGAGGGACTCCCTTCTCAACTTTTCACCATTCAGTCCAATTTCCCCTGGGCAGATAGAGAAACTGAGACCAGACTGTAGGGAAGAGCTTGCCTAGGTGCACAATTCAAGTTGTGGGGAGGCCCCAGCCACAAAGTACCCCTTGTATGGGAGGAGGCCCAGGATCCCGCACTGTGTATCCATAGCAGATCCAGGAGCAGAGCTGTAATGATGACAAGGCCCAGATGCCTCAGAGCCCAGGCAGAGTCTCCCTGGGGGTGGCGGAGACCTCTGCCTTGGCTTTAGAATGGCCTCTGTGCCTCTGTGCAAAAGCACCATCTGATGCTTGCCCAGGTGGGTTAAGACCCCTGGTAGGAGAAATCAGGGTAGAGAGTGGGCCCCAGCACCTGGGGGGCAGAAAGAGGAGGGCCTGGCACTATTCCTGGGGGCTTCTGAGTCTGGTCAAGGGCTACTGAGAACAGGTGGGAAAGAGAGTGACCAGGAGAGACCAACTAGAACAGGTCTCCACACAGTGTGACTTGAGGAGTTCATCTACCCAGCAGTTCCCATAGCCGGCCCACTTTGCTGCTTGGTAACCCAGTGCAGGTCTAGAGTGGAAGTTGGTCTATGGAAATGTCTCTACAGCTGGGATGGTGGGAACTCACCACCTGGAAGGTTTGGTGTGGTGGTCTGAATGAGAATGACCCCCAAAAGCTCATATATTTGAATGCTTCCTCACCAGGGAGTGAGAGGTGTGGTTTGAAAGAATTAGAAGGATTGGGAGGTGTAAACCTTGTTGGGGAAGGTGTGGCCTTGTTAGAGGAAGTGTGTCACTGGGGGGGGGGGGGCTTTGAGGGTTTAAAAGCTCACCAGGCCTAAGCTATGCTTTCCTCTCCTCCCTCCCTCCTTCCCTCCCTCTTTCTCTTTCCTCCCTCCCTCCTGTCCTCTCTCTTCCTCCCTTCCTCCCTCGTCCTCTCTCTCTCCTTCCCTCCTTCTCTCCCTCCCTCCCTCCCTCCCCTCCCCTCCTCTCCTGTCCTCTCTCTCTGCCTGCAGATCAGGATGCAGCTCTCAGCTACTTCTCCAGCACCATGCCTGCCTGCCGCCATGCCCTCTGCCCTAAAACTGTAAGCCAGCCTCCAATTAATGCTTTCTTTCCTAAGAGTTGCCTTGGTCATGGTATCTCTTTCAGCAATAGAACAGTGACTAAGAAAGTGTTTCCAAGGCAGGCAGATCTCTGTGAATTCAAGGCCAGCCTGGTCTACAGATCAAGTTCCAGGACAGCCAGGGCTACACAGAGAAACCCTGTCTCAAAAAACCACACACA